CAACTTGGAGGCTTTTAATTTTCGGTATAATATATCATTTATAGACCCTCCGCTCGGGGGATTCGGCGAAATATTACCCTCAGTGATGATATTTCCCTTGGGGCAAAGCCCCTCGGGAAATATCATCACTTCGGGTAATATTTCGCCGAATCCCCCTCGCTCCAGGTCTATAAATGATAAATGTTACACTCACGCGTGGACACCACGCGCTGATACAATATGGCGTTCGGGAGCTGTTGTAAGTTTGTAATTTCGCTTTTTTCGTATAAAAGATTTATTGATTTAACTGAAGATTTTCAAGGGGTATGTTACCTTCAATGATCCAAAGGATACAGCCTCAAGTATTTTAAAGGGAAAACGTCAAAAACTCAAGAAATTAAACATTGTATTCGTTATTCAGCAAGTTTTTACGTCATAAACATGTTCTAACATATAGGAATATATAGGTTTGTGTTTATCGAAAATGGTTTTGTTTAATCACGTGATGATCTTTCCAGGTAGTATTTTGCAGAAATTATGGGAATACATTACTGCAGCGCGTGATGTCCAACTATTTTAGCCAAGTGCAGTCTTTTGCACTTAGCATTCAACCGCAGCAGAAGAAATATTGTCTATTCCAGTCACATCAAACTACAATGTTTCGAAGCAAACGTGATTGTTCATCAGAGTATAAACCTTTAGTTATCAAACTTAATTACAATTGCACGTGACTATTTATCAGCCCTTACCACGATCACAAATTGTACAGGAAAATGATCATGTCGCTGAGTAGTCTTTGCTTCGTATTGTGGGCCAAGTCAGAAAAAAATTAGTGCGCTTTTTCGTCTTGCTTTACTTGCAACAACATCTATTTGCAACAAATTAAGCTTCAAACTGTAAGTTTAATTATTCCTAAGCGTTCTTAATTAATTCCCCAGTTTGGAGTCTTTAGCAGTTTCTTAACCTCAAATTCTATCAATAAATTAAAAACTGCGCCGACTGTATCTTGAACTAATTTAGTAGTTCGCCTCATTAGTATAATAATATCATGATTGCGGGTATTCCCTTTGTTCTCGCAGGGCAATTAAAAACTAATACACCTCATTATTTTCATATTTTCTAATCCTACCTGCTTTTACGTCATGTCAGGTAGAATTAGTTCTAATCCTACCCGAAACGACGTCAAAGCGGGTACGATTAGAAAAAATGAATATAAATGAAGATATCTGAAATCGCTAAAACTAAACAAAGACAGGGAAAACAATTATACCATTTAATTTATACCATTATTTATTGTTAATTGGTTTTTAATGCGAGAACAACGCCAACGGGAATACCCGCAATCATGATATTATAAGGTAATAGCATAAAAAGAAGCGAATTAGCTATTGAAACGTCCCGCCCGATGAGGGTCGTTTAGTAAAATTTCCTTGGGCGCCGCTCGATTCGGGTCATTTAGTAAATTTTACTAAATGACCCTCATCGAGCGGCGCCCAAGGGAATTAACCCTCATCGAGCGGGACGTTTTAATAGCTAATTCGCTTCTTTTTATGCTATTACTTATAATAATATTCAGTCCACGCCAGCAACTACAATGTTCTGTTAAGATGAGGCAGGTCATCTTAGCTCTGGATTTGTGGCCGCTATTTATCATCGTGTGATGCACGTGATCGACGTAATTAGAACCCAACGTACAAGAAAGTGACAAGTACTGTAGTTCCACACATAACATCCAGGTTGGCCACTGATATCATATAACATTTATTACAACAATGCATAGAACATTTACTATAATGTATAACTATGAAAATAATATTAACTAGCTATATCATGAAGTGCATGATTTAAAAGCGCGGTTTGGTGATAATATGGTCTGGACAAATGGCTGCGGATCATAAGACTGCGATCAACGGGCATTGTCTAAATTGATTGTAACACCGGCACGCAACTAAACTGAGTTTGTGGCGTTAAAGCCGTGAAAAATTGGATATCGTGAAATAATTGGCTATAATGAAAGCTCCAAGTCGAAGTCAAGAACCGTTTGTATTCCCACATTTTCTTTACATGCCTATTTGCAAGTTGCTAAAAGTTTGTTGACAACAGAAAATTAAACATAACGCATTTCATTTGGGGACTGCGGAACCGGTTGTTGTGGAGCTAATTTTCACGAGAAAGGCGTGTAAAGTGGTAAGGGAGTGTAAAATATGAAGTGAATACCAAGGTTGCATTCTGGCTACATCGAAGGTTATCTTTAGATGGCCAACTGCATGACAATTACGCTCAAACATTTAATTAAGACCAACAAAATGTGAATAGAAATCAATGGGGTGTGCTTATCAACAATATTTTTTGTTACTTTCACTTTTTTACTTATTAAGTTTCCTTATCTTGCCTATTTTGGAATGAAATACAAAGTCCCACCACCACCAACTCCAACCATAAAATTGCTTTCCGGCCCCTGTCACTTGCTCGGTAAACTAGACAAAGCTCCATGGCGCGAGCTAAGCAAATAAAACAAGTTACTTAATTACTTTCAATTGCGAGTTACAAAGGAAAATGTCTTTCTGTTAATGCGACGTTTTTCGAAGACGATCTGCACGGCTGACC